TAGCCGACACACGTCAATATAATCGGCTCTCCCTTCCTCGACGATATTCTCGCGACTTAACCCTTTTACCACTGCGAGAGCACCGCAATGGCTTCCGCCTCGGCGACTTTTTCAAAGACAAAACTATGCTGGCTTTCCTCTGAGCGAATTTTGCAGAGCAAAGGAAGAGCACCGTCGCAGCGGCTTTCTTCTGTAACTCGTGCGAGAGCCGTCGTTATTGGCGGCAGTTTGTTCACTCGTTCTGATATTACAAACACGAATTTCATAAATTCACTAGCTGTTTTTGTTCCATTCACGCGTTCAATAAAGGAAGAACTGCGGCACTTTCAGCTCGAGGAACTGCAAAACGCACCGGTGCGCAACGTTCATCAGTCGCCGACATGTAAAGTCGTGGTCAAAAGGCTTGACATATGCTACTGGTCCGCCGCCCTTCAATTATATCCTTCCATCTCTATCGCAACCGTGCGCGCGTTAATTAATCAGGTGTTTAATAGCTCGCGCGAATTCATTAACGTGAATGAAAGTTTCACGGGCATCAGAGATTTCTCGCGTCGATGTTTGTTTATTAAGCGACGTTCATTTGCGCCGTATCGGGCGCGAGTCTCGTTGCTTTAATAAGATATCTGGCGACGTGTAATACGGCGCGTAAGGAACGTTTGAAATGAAATCCTTAATTAAAGGTACCGCCCAGTTTTCTTACCACGCCACGCCGTCTTCGTTACGCAGGATGGCGAATAAGATGAAGAGAAGAGAGGAAAGAGAAGAAGAGAGCACTGGCAAAAGGGGGAGGGGGAGGTGGGAGGGACCAAAGCACGGCAAGAAGTAGACGAAATTCTACTCGCTCGGGGGAAACTAATTTCGCCATTGCTGCTCGCGCGTGTATTCAACCCCGAAGGCGTATTCCGCGGGGTGCAATGAATGCGCCGCATCGGATAAGACGCATAAAAAAGTTCCGCATGCAGCAGCAGCAGCAACGGCAGCAGCAACAGCAGCAGCAGCCACAACCCGCCGCGTTCGTGCCGCGCCGTCCGTGTTCTCGATAATACAGCGCCTTGTTTACGGTTGCTGAGCTTATCTCCCGTTTTTCAATTAAATGAAGCGACGCGTCCAATTAAAAGCGCGCGTCCCTTGTAACCTTTTGGCGGTAAACGATTTGGCGGAAGGATAAAAAAAAGAAGAGGAAACCGACCACGTATATTCGTCGTTACCTTTTATTCTTCTTCCTTTTGTTCTTACTGCTACTTTCTCTTCCCTCAATGGCCAACATTCTCGCGGGTTTTACGTTCCGCGTGCGGAGGCCGCGCGATGCGCGTAACGTCATTACGTATTTCGCGGCGATAAACTGCAGCCCGTCGTAAAGTGGAAACGCATCCTGAGATGTCTTTGTGTGCTGCGTGAGAAATAACTTCTGGCGACAATTACTTCGGGGTCAGAGACGCGCGTCCTGAAGTCGGCGCGCTTACTCCAGGCATTAATGGCCTCGAAATGGCTCTGTTTACGACGCCTGTAAGTCATAATACCTTATGGAGTAGCAAATTTGGATGCACGTCGAAAATCGATCGATCTCGGAAAATAAATGCGACGCGAAGAGCTGTGAAGACGGGATCGCTCAACTCTTGCGACACATAATGAAGTTTCTCTCTCTCTTCCTGTCCTTTTCTTCCTCTTCGATATTTGTAACAGTAAATAGCTCGACTTTCTGCAATGACTCTATTCTCTTACTTTTAATCACTCAAAGTGAATTATTCGTTACTCTCGTTACTCGAGATCAATTCTAGCTGAGGTATCTTGAAATTGAAATTATCAAAATAACTTTTTTCTCTTCAAATTTTGCGTTTTTAAGCAAATTTTTGTAGTTTGTAATCAAAATATGCGAGTCACCATGTAGGGGGTGTATTTTAATGGCTACAAGTTACTGAAAAAAAGTTTAGGGATTAATGGCGCATGGTAGCGCACCCGAAAAAACTCGCCCGCCACGAGCAGGGCTATTGTTCCAAACTCACCCGTCGGCAAAGTGTTGAAACCGTTCAAGTACCTTTCACCCTCCTCTTCTCATTAGGAAAGAGGTAAACAACGGAATGCCGATGGGAAGAGGGGTGGAGGAAAGGTTAATTTCGGAATAATTGTTGGACTGATGAAATTTCTTCGTGAAGACGGAGAATCCGGTTGCAGGCATGTTTTCGACGTCGATTGCGATATTAGATGCAATAGCCGGAAGAAGGCAGTTTCCGCCGATGTTAAGCACTAATCCTAATTGCGCGAGACGTCGAATTGCGTCCGGTTAGCCACTTTCATTTCGCGGTTTTCCGGTAGGCGGACGGACACGGACTGAGAAAACTAATTTCACCGCGGTCGCACGGTCGTGCACGTACCTACCCCGCCAACACGTAGCCACTTCGGCCGAGGTATTCCGCGGGGTCTAATGAATATATCGCGACAATTCGGACGCACGGAGTAACGACAAAAAAGTCTCGCTTCTTTCGCGAATGAAATGATAGCGCGCGAGTACGCGAGTGCGCGCTCGCGAATAACCAAATATCGCGCGCGGCGTCGCGATTACGCCGGCAATTTTCATAATTTACGACTAATCTTCTTTGGGGACGGAATGTGAGCGTAATTACGCGCAAATGCAGAATAAATGGAGCGGTTTAATCATATTCATTTCCCCGGCCTCGGATGATTTATCTTGGCGCGGCTGAAAGTTCGGCATACATTATTTCGCAGGAACAACAGAGAGACGGTAGTGGTGCTTCGGGTTACCAAGAGCCTATCCGCGAAATTAAATTGAGTATAGCTCGAGTGATCTCGATTCAAAGCAACTGGCGTTCGTGCACGGTAATTTCGTCAAATTAAAATGACGCTATGCGTGTGTATAGAGTGGAAGGTGGTAGATTTTAAAGCGAGGTGAATTTAAATAAACGAACATGCACACGAACTGGCAGAATCATTTTAACGCGAAGTATAATTAGATTACTAATATATAATAATATTAGCATTTTACAACCGTAGATTCGTAGAACCGCGTTTCTGGATGTCAGTGTAAAATTATCGTAGCTGAAATTCTCAAAATTATTATTATTGTCGTGACGAATCGCTATTTTAACACATCGAGGCACGCAGGCACTCTAGCTATCTAAGTTAAAGTAAGTAAATCTTTAGCTCGAGCAATCGCGCCTAATTTGACCCAAGTACCGTCTAGTACTCGTGCTCTAATATCGAATCTACATCGAGTATTCTATGAATAGATACTTAAAGATATAATACCGTCGTAGCAAGCAAAAGCCGAGGCTTATATAAAAGTTTGGTCATTCGTTACGTCGGTTATAACGCCGGCGTTACTCGCAAGAGAGGGATGACTTTCTTTTAACGAGATATTCCTTTAACCGTTAGAAGCAGGGAGCAGGTTATACCCCTTTTTATTTAAACATCCCTCCGTGGAGCTGCGTTTCGTTCGATCTACAAACATCGTCGTCGTCGTCGCCGTGAAGGATCGTGAAAAACTTTCCCGCCCCGATAAGTATAACGATGTCGTTTTTGTCGGTGGGAGCGTAGCGGGACGTGAGCAGACTAGGGCTGGAAATTAGCTGGACTAATTATCCCGCTAGACGCGTTGCGGCGACGAGAGAAGTCGAAAGGGGCCAGCCACTGAGGAAATTCGCGCTGTGATGTATTCGTAAAAACAAAAAAAAAACAAACTTCCACTTTCCCGCGTTATATTGTTATTTTTCACTGTCGCATGTGTAGCTTTTCCGGTTTTACGACTCGTGAAAAAAAAATCGTCTCTTGACAAAACCGTGGAGGGTAAGTGCAGCTTTCGAAAGCGCGCGAATGTCGCGGTCGTTTGCGCGTCGCATCATCGATCGTTTGAGTGGAATGTACGTGGTATGTACTCGTCGAGTTTCGTTACGAATGTCGAGCGCTTTCGATAACTTTCGGTGAAATAGGACGGAATTACACAGAGTAAAATTACTTCTCTGACGAAACCTGCATTTGGTTCAATTTGATGTCGCGCGCAAGGCGCGAGCTGAAAAATCCCTCCTACATCAAATACATATCCCGCCAGCTTGAATTACCGGTGTTGCACGGGTTATTACAAACTGTCAAGGAGATGAAATCAGCTGGAAAGCGTGAAGTGTTCAGCTTTCATGTAGTAGCTTATATTTTCCGCGGAATTCTGGAGAGTAACTATGCAGAATTTAATCCAAATCGGTCAGAGTCCAGAAGTTAATAGAAGACATATAGACATTCCATTTTTAATATTCAAGGTGTTAAAAAAAGATATTCCAAACTTAGAGAGTAAATAGTACTTATACTGAATAAAAAATGTCTATTAAACATGGATCGAAAAGTCAACTCTTTCAGAGTTATAAACATTTTTCGATTTTAGCAACGCAAGTAATTTGTGTGTCTCCATTGATCACACGCGGTCAATAAACGAACGAGTATCTTATCATATTATTACTGTGATGTTCACAATTATTCGTGTCTCAATAAACTAATTTTTATTCAATATAATTAGTAAAAACTATCTACCCTGTAAGTTTGGAATACTTTTTTTTCACACCTTGTATGTAAATTTGTGGTTTGATCGTATTGGCCTTTTCGGTCTTGATCCGTCTGAATACAAAATTATAAATAAAATTATACATTATAAAATTCGGAGTAAAAAGCGACGAGTCGTCGAAGCAAATACATCGCGCTTATGCAAAAGACATCTCATGTTGCGGGGAACTTTCGCCGAGAAATCACAGTTTGTCATTCAACCAAAAGATCGAGTAGATAAAACTTGTGTCATGCGTGAGTGAATTATTCTTACGACAATGGGGCACCAGTCTCACCCTTATCATTGTGGAAAACCTCCTCGCGTTCCTATTTCCGACGTAGACACGCTTGGCTTCCTTCGCATAAAAGCCAAAATGAGAGCCCGGGTTTCACGAGAAACAGCGACGCTACGAATATATCCAGTACCTATCGAGACTTGTAACGAAGTATTTCTGCAGGATCCTACGTGTCGGACGTGTACATGCCGCCATGAAGTTCACCCTTGCCTCCCGGGAGCGCGGCTTGAGGACGAAGTAGCTGAAGGCGAACCGAAACTTTCTCGTAAGGATATTCTCTCGCGGGCGTGTTTTATTGCCGCGGCACCGCCGTGCCTGGGAGTATCTCGTGGAGATTTTTGTTGCGGAGCAGTCGCCGATGGACCGCTATCCGCTTCCTTTATCCGCGCTCTGCTCCACCGAGGTCGCTGCCCTGGATTCGCCCTGGGGACCGCCGATCGGACGAATTCCTCGAGAAGGCGAAAGGACTGGCTCGAGGAAGGAAATTGATTCGCCTATCGCACGCGTGCAGGCGTGTGTCTGACGATACGTACGTATGTAATTTATCTTCCAATTTGTAATAGCATTGCTTCTGTAGTTGCGACTCTAGATATTTAATTTGTTTTATTATTCTTGACGTAATCCTAACTGATAAGTCTAGTTAGCTTTTAAATTTAATCAGTTGTAAGCAACTGTATGCACTTTCTTCACTCGAGCTGTATATAGTATTGCTTTTCTTTGGATCTGCACGTCCTGATTTTGACGTCAGATTCATTATGATTATGTTTACTGTAAACTCTAAGCAATCGTTGCACTTCTCTCCCAATTGGGTAAATAAGCTCTACTCTATATATATATACGTGAGCGTGAGGAATCTCCTCCAGAAGAGCTATAGTAATTATGGAAAATTGCGAATGATTAAGAGAATAAATGTCGGGCAAAGAGTGAGTTGAGAGTACAGCCACGTTTCGGAGGATCGATATTTTTTGAATGGGAATAACGAAATTTCACTCCTCGTTTAATTTCACAAGTGGATCGCTTACTCGAAAGGAATTTTAATCCGACGGTTAGTCGCGAACGTGAAATTGAATTGAACGCGAAAAAGTTGGCGGGAAAAATCACGACCGATCAAACTTTCATAAGGAAGCAAAACTGACTCGAGATTTGTCGAAGTAATTCTGAAACATCCTGCGGGCGACTTCACTCATAACATACACATACACAAAGACGTGTCTACTTGTATTGCATACCGTAATAACATGAGAAAAAAGAAAAAAAAAGCCGGAGCAATGTTTGGACTTGGTAGCTTCTCTTGACGTCGTAAATACGAGTCAAGTTAATAAAAGAGAAGGCTTGACTTTCGAATGACGTCGACCCTAAAGTACGGCTTGATTCATCGTCGGCGTCGCGCGTGACCGGTAAGCCGAGCGAATGAATCCTCGTTGTCGCACTTCCGTCCCTTGCACTTCCGCACACATTCGGCAAAATGGCTCCCAAGTGGCGACACTAGGTACGAGCATTCGGGCGCACCGCGAGGAGACAACTCCGTTCTCGAACATTCGCTCCGCGATGTCTGGCTATACGTCAGACGACGGAATTCCTCGGGGCTCCCTTCACGTCGTCCTCGACAGCGCGCGCCTAATTGATTGTCGTTTACGTAATCATACAACCCTCCACAGGCCATCGCCCTTCGCGAGAGACCGTCTGGCCGGAGAGAAGGGGAGAAAAGGAAAGAGAAGAAGAAAGGAAGAAAAAGGAAAAGAAAATTCTCGCAGTCACAGCCGCGCGTGGCGGAGAATTTTGCGCTCGAGAGAGAACTTTGTTAATTCTGGCGGACAAGGTGGCCGGCCAATGTCGTTATCAAAGTTACCTCGGTTAACCGCGTGTGTTACACGTGCACACCACATCAGTGTGCTCGTATGTGCGTGTGTGGATGAATAGTGTGTTTGCTCGCGCGCGCAATGTAATGGAGAAAAAGACGGCCGCAGCGCGGTACGCCGCCGTGAGGGAGAGACCTTTCGCGCGACGGGAAATTAACTTTGACCAACCTGCGTTGGTCGTGACCCACATTTTTTTCTTTGCATCTTCCCGCAACTCGCAAAGTCCGCGGAAGTCCGTGTTGTAGCGAATACTCGCGAATTAATCCTATTTGTCAGTGAATCCTTGACGAGCTCATTCGTTCTTTTATGTCGATAGCGCGATAATCCGTTCTTGAACCCTTAAACGACAACGTATTTTTCAATATAACCCATTGAAACTTTGCGATATGTTTTAATGGTTAATTCTCAATCAATGATTGTAAATAATTTGCAACTACGAAAACTTTAAAATATAATATTATTCTCACAAGTGCTGATTTTTATGTCCAATAATGCTTCTTTGTTTATAGGAATCGCGAATACTATCTCATTTGCATTTGCCAACGTTTTCTTTATTTTCGTTTAACCTTGTTATATTATACCTTGTTATATTATACGAAATTCAAATTTTAATTTCTATTGATAAACAACATTATTGAGCATCTAACTGTTGCTTTTATTTTAGCTTTATATGAGCTCTTTTAAGAACTACAAATCTCATCAAAACTTCTACCAAAAAAAAAAAAAAAAAAAAAAAAAAAAAAAAAA